TAGCTTAAAGTTCTTCAACCAAGTGGAACGACCTATTATTGTCTATTTTTGGATTAATTCTCAATTTGAACTCTTATCAAGTTGTTGTTTGCGTCTTCGAGTGTGACATATAATCATATATATAATAACAATTATATTAATATAAATTTATAAAGAATCTGTGATAAAGATAAGTGCAAAAATGACCAACTCAAAGGATAATCTGGAAAAAACTAGGGAGCTCATCACTGAGCAGAGCATGAAGGATTTGCTAACAAAGCAATTGGAAATTGTTGGCAGTGGCGGTGCCTTTGTGTGGTAACAGGGGGTTTCCTAATGACTCATAAATATATCTTATATATATAATATAATATAAAGTAAACATTTTCTATAATACGGGTATCAGTTCACGATTACATGATTTAATTCATAAAAAAAGAAAGCTGTGACACTTGAAAGTTCAAGATCAGCTGGAACTGTAATAGAACTGGGAAAAATGCACTTAAAACTGATTTAGCTAAACAGACTCTAAGTATTAGTCTGAGAATTTCAGTTCAGGCATAACACAAGTAACTAAGTTACTTAATAGTTTATAAAAATTATTTATAGCTGTACATGTTTCGACACAATAGTTATACCAAAGTCTAATATTCAGAGCACGCCACGTGATTGACATATATAATTTGTATTGGGATTGAGGAACTCTAGTTTCGTATTACTTATGTGCACTTATGTCGGAGCAGTCAATGCACTGGATTAATAATAGACAAATCGTGTCCGTTAACGATAATCAATACGGCAGAACCTGATAACCGCTTCCAAAGTGAATCGGGTTAGCAATCTACATAACATACTTGTATTTGAAACCGGTACTCATTATGATTATCAGTATATATATGTATACCTATTTAAGTATATACATATACTGCTCTTTTTTTTGCATTGCCTCAAGGAGGTTCAGTTGAGTAAGTGGAATATTGATGCCGATATTGAGAGGGCGGCGTTAACCCAAGGACAGTCGCTGAACTGCCAAAAACTAGTATCTGAACAAACATTAAAGATTAAACAACTTCTAATTAAAAGTCAGACTGCTTTGAATTTTAACGATTTACTCCCCAAAGAAGAAAATAAAACATATTTGAAATATGTAAATATTGCGCATTGCGCTCCGGTTGCCCGGTTGGAGAAACGATTCGGCGACGATGACGCTTACATTGAAAACATTTTCAATATGTATTTATATATTGGAAGTCGTAATACGACGTACACACATATGCTTCGCATATTCAGCACATCATGTGCTGAATTTTTAAAATAGATATAATCGTGAGCCCGACTCCATGTTTGGATTGTGGAATGTGTCACTAACCTTCGCAACTTTTTCGTTCTCGCAATTATTAGTGGAATTTAATAGTTTGATCAGCGATCAATAATGCTATTATATCCGTTAATCGTTGGGGAAGGATAAATAATGGGTAATATGTTTAGGAGGAAGTATATGTCAATGCAATTATTAATTAGACTGTATTAGACTGTATATTATAATATACATATATCTGTACACTATATGAATTCATATATTATTTTCTGAATCTCTCTTTGGCATACCCAATATTCTATAGATATAGATTAGAATTTCCCAAAATAAATATATAATTAATTTTAAAATCAAGCTTGTAACGACATTAGACTTTATCTTTGTATAACCCATGTTTCCATGAACTCTAGAATCTTGGTAGAAACCTTCATAGTTCAATTGCTACGAATATTATAGAGTTTGTGGGAGCATAGGCTGAAGAAAGATAAATTCTAGAGAAAATGCTTTCAACTGAGGGAACTGCGGGTAGTTTAAACTCGATTTCCAAGTATAGCGTATTTCCTAGTCGGCCATTCCCAGCTAGATCAACATTATTATAGAAAAGACGAGCGCGGGGTGTTTAATAATCAGAAATATGTGTGAATGTGCGAAAGATTAAAGTTGCGTGTCGCAAAACAAGCTATAGATAAATATAGATCTGTTAAATATCTAAATCGTATTAATTAGCGCCAGGTGAAACTTTGTCAAAACAATTTCACCGATTCGCGTGTTTAGTTGAACAATTTGCACTTCGCTCTAACTATTTGCATTTCTTTTCATAGGGCTATCTTCTTTCTGTGCGTCACGCCAAACATTTTGAACGGATTCCATGTGTCGTCCTATACGCTACTCGGTCATCTGCCCGATGACCAGTGGTGCGGCATTGATGCACTGCAGCACACCAACTGGACTCTGGCGGAGAAGCGCAGCATTAGCGAATATGAACTGGAGTCCGGCGGCTGTACCATCTGGGATTGGGACTACGAGCATCTGAGTCGAATGTCCTACTCGTCGGCACTCAACTACACGCGGCGCATGGCTCAAATAAATAAGCCCAGCGTGGTGTCCTGCAAGACCAAGGGCAGCTACGAGTATGCCGAGCCGGAGACAACATTCGTGGCCGACTGGGAGCTCACCTGTGAGCGAAGCATTCAGCGCACCTCCGCACAGGTGGCCCTGTCGCTGGGCAAGTTCTGCGGCTCCTTCAGCTTTGGCATATTGGCTGACAAGTAAGTCGACTCTAATCGAAAATAGTTTCAATCGTTATATGTATTATCTACTTTCTAGATTTGGTCGGAAGACCTCATTTACGTTGGGCGCCGCCTTCTTCATTGCCGGCAGCATCTTCTGCACCTTCACGCCGTGGTACAGCGTCTTTCTGATCGGTCGCTTTGCCCTGGGTTCAGCCTCATCCGGCCTATTCTATCCTGCATTTACAATGAGTACGTATAAGATATCTTTTATATTTGATTATGATTGATGATTATCATCATTCTTACTCTAGTTGTGGAGAATATTTGCCTGAAGCATCGCACCTGGATGTCCATTGCGTTCTCTGCCTCGTATCCTGTGGGCATGATCCTGCTGGCCATCGTAGGCTATCAGATCCAGCCCTGGCGCTATCTGCAATTGGCCTTGACCATACCCTCACTGCTGCTGATCCTCAATTGCTAGTGGGTTGACCTTGGTTATTATATTGAATATTAATATATCTTTAATTGATTTATAATGTGTATTCCTGCCTTCCTTAGTTTGATGAATGAATCGCCGCGTTGGCTTATAACAAAGCAGCGCTACAATCGTGTCTACCAAATTCTTTTCGGTCAGCCCAGCCATTATGATATTCAGCCCACGATTGCGACAGCCACCGAGACGTGCAGCGATAAGAAGACGGTGTGTGCAAAGATCTTTCCCATTCATCCTCAATAAATATATTATATATTAGTTGGTTCTCATGCGAAAAATTCCACTTTAAATACAACATAGACAGCATAATAGGCTGCATTTGATGGTCCGCGTGTGACTGCAACTGGAGACGATCGAGATTGGAAGAGGCGTCAGTGTTGTTAAGATTAATTTGACACAAGATCACAGTCTGAGAGTCACCGCATGTCCATAATCGGTGATTTATTTTTAGCTTTGTCTAATCAGTATATGAATTCACGTGAAGCAACAGATGATCATGATCGTGCTAACGATTCGTTTCTGTAAATGAAATCTCATCAGTACTCCATAAGAAACACGGCTTAAAAGTCATTGCATTCGACTTACAATCTAAGAGTCTCAAAGAAATAGAAGAGAACTGATTGAGATTAGTTAAATGATCGGTCTCACTGGCCTATACGACTTATACTGAGACCTGCTTAGATTACTCTTAAGTAAATGGAATCCAGTTCAGTAATAGTCTTAAAGCCACAGTCATATAGTGATAATCTAAGAAAATTATTCTCAAATGACGTAATTTTAAATCTAGCTTATTCATTCATTCAGAGATTACAGTTTGAAAGCCACTGCTTGGGGTTAAGCATCAGTTTACTTGATTATTTTAACATTTGCAATTTCTTTTCATTTAGTTGGAGTCTGCCCCGGATGATTCACTTGTAGAGAAGCTAAAGAATGGCCCGCTCAAGTCAATTATTGAGCTCTTCGCCAATCCGAAGGTCCGCCGATATATATTCACGTCGTACTTCATGTTCTGTGTCACCTCACTGAGTTACTATGTAACGGGTAAGATTGCAAGATCAGCTATAAATATGTACTTGGTACAATCAAAATAACATTCAAACTCTCTCAGCTCTGAATGCCGCCAATTTCTCGGTCAGTCGCTACCTGTACATTGTGGCCACAGGTGTCGTGGATATACCGTCGTACGTGGTGCCTGTGATAATGCTGCGCTACACGGGTCGTCGCATCACCACCATGTTCCTCTTCATGTTGACGGGCGTCTCGCTGTTGCTGGTGCTGTCCGTGCCCTCTGGCAGCACCACGTGGATCGTATCGTTTGCGATGCTGGGTCGGTTTGGCATCAGCGCCACCTACTCGGTGGTGACGCTCTACACCGCTGAACTGTATCCCACCGAGATACGTAATTCGGCGCTGGGCACTTGCTCGACGTGGGCGCATGTTGGGTCCATATCAGCGCCATATGTGGTCGATGTCCTGGGCGCCCTTGGCTGGTACATTCCGACAACCATATGCGGCTTCTGCGTTTTAGTAGCTGGTCTGCTGACGCTTACACTGCCCGAAACCGGCACCGACAAGCTGACCGACAAGGTGGAGGACGCACCAGCCATAGAGAGTGGGCCTGAAAAACAGTAGCCCCTGCCGGTCCATCTGCAGCTAGTTAAATTAATCTAAATCAAACCTATATATACCTACACCTGTATACCTGTACATGTATGTATATATATTATATACCCATACATGTAGATATATATGTATACTATATATCTATGTGCTTATCGCACAATTGTAATACTACCAGTACTTTAGACCTAAGTTTTTTTCTATGCGTAATTGTTAATTTTACTCTTCCTTGCATTGTCATATATACATATATATATATATATATATATATATATGTATGTGCATCGTGTCATGTATGTATATTCGTGAATGTTTTCTGTTTCGATATAGTATAATTAATAAATTATATGTATAATCGTTACTTCTGGATGAGCAGCTGCACCCATTCGTAGTAGGGTCGCGTCACCGTGTAGATGCTGGGCATGCCAGGAATGCCGCAGGTCAGGCCGTGGGAGACAAGTCCGTAAATGTATTCGCGCCCATTCGCGCTATATGGACATATTAGCGGACCACCCGAGTCGCCCTGGCACGAGTCCTGATTGTTGCCCAGCGCACAGACCGTATTCGCATCGTTTTTGGGCGCCCAAATGTGGCCGATAATATCGCGACATTGCTGATTCCCAATCACCCGCACCTCGGCCTCGAAGAGCAGCTTCTGCGATGGCCCAGCATGCCTCGTCGCGCCGTATCCAATTATTCTGCACGATTCTGAAATCACAATTTGTGAAAAGGATTAGCCTAGAGCTTTGAAGTAATTAATCAACTTGTTTATCCACCATTGCTATTGGGCTTCATTCCATGAGGCGGTAGCTGAGCGAACTGCAAGTCCTTGACCAATTGTCCTTTGAAGGGGCGCTTCAGATAGAGCAGTGCGATATCATTGCGGTAGTTGGAACTATAAATATATACACATATGCATATTGAATAATACAATATTTTAATAATATTTCTAATATAGATTAAAAACCTTCATACTTACGGCTGAAAGTAAATATATTCTGCACTCTTCACACAATAGGCTTTTAGATTTTCCACATTATCAATATTTTCATAGCCGATGAAAGCGACTATGTTCTCAGTCCTTCTGCAAGTTTCAATTATAATTTATATCAATTAATCAAAGTTTATATTATACACATATCTATACATTATTTGCGTATGAAGGAAACATCGACCCGTCTAAAATATTTACGTAAGCAAAATATATAATTTTTAATGAAATTAAACATTTTTTGTATATATTCCCTGCTTTGCCCCTTCACCTAACCCCAACTCCGTTCTCTACCTCTTTCTTCCCCCTTCTTGTCTTTCTCTACCCATACTTACTTTCTCCAGACACAGTGCGCAGCAGTCAGTATCCAGCGCTCACTAATGATGCTTCCGCCACAGAAGTGCTGATATACCCGCTTATGGGTAGCATTGCCATCGTTTCCATATTCCTTCACCACATCTTGTAGTGACACCATAAAGGGATACTTCGCGGCGCCATCTGTAATTTGAATTGACGGCTTAGTATGACTCTCAAGATCCAATTGATTTTAGAATACTGCCCACGCTAGACACAATGCGGCCCCCAACAATGGGCACGGCAAGAGAGTCTCTGACGCAAAGAACTTTTAGGCAAATTAAATGCAGAAGGCATTTAAGAAGGCAAATGAAAGCAGCCCTCATGCTGGAACTTTGTCAAGATACTAAACGTACCATAACCATTTTCAAATAGAGCAAAACTGTTTTTAGAATAAATAATACAAAAAAATATAAGTAATAATAAATACAAAACACAAAAGAAATGTAAGCGCAACCGTTCACAAGCTGTGCAAATAATTCAATGGGAATGCGTTTGTTGTATGTTTTGAAATCTCTACTGCGGGCGTCATCGAACTTTGCTAGTGGAGCTTTTGAAGTGGAGTATACTAAATCGACAGTTAGTTATGGTTATATACATATCGATTTGATTAAAAATCTCTAAGGGTTCATTCATCTCAAGGCTGGTTGAACGGTTTGAACCTTCAACGGCAACTCAGCAACATGAAAAAGCGGTCTGGCAGCACTGATATGATATTATGGTAGTACAACGCGATGGCCACACTGTTTTTGGTAAACAGCTGATTAGCTGTAGACGAAAACTGTGAATGCTCAGACGCCATTGTGTACACGTTACGTGCGTTGCGAATTGTAAGTATAAATTGTTCATTAATTTTTTATTAATTGCTGAACTAATACCAGAGATAATAAGGTATAAATAACGGCATTCAAAACTTTAACCTTGCGCACTCAGTTGTTGCATATTTTGATTTGTTGAAACATAAATGCAAAGCAGATTACATACAGTTTAAGTTGTAGCTACTAATTTTTGTTTTGTTTGTAATAAATTATGCATGAGTCGTGCAAGTGACATGAATATTCTAATTTCAAACTAGTTATTTCTAATTATTAACAGTTATCAATACTGGGATCGCCACAAGGCCAAGTGCTATGGGCCTGAACCCCACCCTTAGCTCACTATTTTTTTTTTTTTTTATGATTTTTGTTTGTTTTGTTTTTTGCTGAGCAAGTCAAAGTGGGCTTTGCAAATTCTTATTGTTGCTGTTGGTTTTGTTTGTTTGTTTGTTTGCTTATCTATTTTTTTGTCCGTACAAAATGATCGCGACGTACCAAATGTATCGATTCATGCAGATTCAGTTAATCAATGGATTATGGGATTTTTACAGTACAATAATGTCACAAGGCGGTGGCACACCATCAACGAGCAATCCAACCATATTGCATGGCGGCAAGGTCTTCATACAACGGGACTATAGCGATGGCACCTCAGTGAAGTTTCATACTAGGCTACCCCCAGAGCTGGATGGCATGGTATGTAACGGTAAACCCGAAAAAAAAACAGTGATATAGACCTGAACCATATTTTGCATTGATTTTCATAGATTGAACGGCACGTCTTTGAGGCGACAATTAACAGGCTTAACGAATTTTATGCCGAGGCAGAGGAGGGCTCGTGCAGCACCTACTGCGAGGGCTGTATAGGTTGTATAACAGCGTACTTGATATATATGTGCTCTGAGACACATTACGAAAAGGTGAGCCTAGCTATTCAAATATTATTTGGTATATTAATTAATTATTAATTTATTAATTTGTTAATTTATTTTTCTACCTAGACGCTGCGCAAGATTTCCAAATTTGTTGCTTCCCAAAATGAACGCATTTACAATCCAAAGGGTCTGCAATTGATCGATCCAACCTTTCGTGGTCTTCGCGTTATAGAGATAACCATATTTGATCGTCCGGGGCGAACGTGACTTCCGCTTTCGCATTCAGCCAATGAGTTTTTCATGTGAGGCATCTGCGGTGTCGCAGACCAACCAACATCTGTATCGACAACAACAGCAAAAAAAGAAAACAGAAACCGCAACAAGTCAAAAGCCATTTCGTGTGTTCCCCCCTCAAAGCTTTATAAACATTTAAAAACAAGTGCAAAATGCGAGCCAGAGTGCATGCTCAAAGGGATCGACTCTAGGATGAGACCTTTCAATGGATCTGAGCATCTTCATTTTTATTTGTGGAGCACGTGCATTAGTCATAAGTGAAAGAGCTGCATTGATGTCACAGTCAAATGAGCGATATGTTTAACAGTTTGTGTAGTTGTTAGCCAAGGCAGAGTTTAACCTTAACGTGTTAGTTAGTATGAGTATTTATGCGTGAGCGAGCAGCGCGTTGCTAGTTGATTAAGTGAAAAGCTACTGATACTGCATTTGAGCTAAAAACATAGTTACATACATTTCCTTATACAAACAAACAAACAAACAATCACCCACACACATACATAAATTTTGCACATGTTATTGTATTTTTATTTAACTAATTTAACAAATTTTTGTTAATACATTTAATATTCTATATTGTATTTGATTTAAGCATCTAATCTTGAACTCGATCTAAAACATTCTGCTTTAGTGCAAATACAAATATATAATTGTAGCACACATAATAACTAAATGAGAAAAACCCTTAAATATTTAAAATACATAAAGTTTTATACACAAGTCTTGAACGATTTCGAAACAGCGCCAAATGAACTTACACATATATACATGTATGTATAAATATATATATACAAATATATATATAAATAAATATATATAGAGATATATTGACATAACCAAGTGAAGAACTGTTCAATTTTTAATAAAAAAAAAATAAAAAAATAGAAGCCTAAAATATATAAAAAAATTTTTTGCCTGGTTTGAATATCTGCGAGCTATTTGTGTTCAGCGCTTAACTTGGCTCAAATAAATATTATCATAAAAATTCTAAGTTAAAGCTAAATATGTTATAACATTTTTTCATTTTTAATTTTCATTTAAATACTTTACTTAAAGGTTTATTTGTAGCTGCCAGAAAATGCGCATAAATTTGTATGACAATTTTTGCAGGCAATTGGTAAATTCTTTGAGAGTCATGTGGAAATTGAAGAACTTAGAAAGGCTTAAAAGATAGATATATATTTATATATTATTTTTTGTTTTTTTTTGTCTTTGCATTTTTTGTTTGTATATTTATATTGTTTAGAAATTCTAAAGCGACTTTTATACTTAGTAATATACCGTCTTTCTTCTCTATGTATATATCATATATCATATATCATATATCATATATCGTATATATATCATTATTATCGAACGAGTTGTAAATGGTTCACTTTCCATCATCTACTTGCCCGCTTCGTTCATATTTTTAGGCAAGCTGAGCAGCGAGTTGATCAGCTCGGAATTCCTTTTGGGCATGCGCATATTGTTGGTCAGCGAATTGGCCAGATAGTTTGGATACTTGCAGAGTGTGGCTGGCATTTGGACACGTCCATAGCGTGCGACATTGTTAATCCAGTCATAGAGATCGCGATTGTACTCCTTTTCCACATAGCGCTCCTCGTCGGGCGAAGCTTCCACTAGAGACCAGCAGAGGCAACAGGCCAGCGCCAGCAGAGCCACAGTCAGGCTGTTGTGAGCCATTGTCAAGGGACGACAGCAAGAGGAGAACAGGAGCGGAAACAGCAACAGGAGGCGGCACAGTCACTGGGTATCGAGCTACTTGCAGCTTGTGAATGAACAAATCCCAATTGGCAACTGCATTTATATAGCAGTTGGCGTGGAACAGTTCGGTTAGATAAATCACAGCAGGACATCGCATGGTATGTACTTCGGGGCCATCTTACGTCTGCGTCTCGATGTCACTTCCAGGGTAAATATATGCCAGTCGCAGGCAAATAAAGGTTTCCTGCGAGAGCTCGCCTCATGGCTAATATTTGATTATGCACCATTTTATGTGCGTACCACAAACAACGGTAACAGGAACGGGAATGACAACGCCAATGACAACAGCATCAGATTTGCGCTCTATTTGCTTATCCTGGTTAACAAGCGCATACATTGTGGGCGTACTCTGATTAATTTTAGACTGAGCGCAACATAAAATTAGTTCTTAAATTCTTTTTTTTACGACTATTGCCAAAATAACACAGCCCCCATGTCGCTCCGTTCATAGACACGTCTTAATATTGACCAAATATTTGTAGACCTAATATTTGAATCTAATCGACCTTGAAGAGGCAACTAAATCATTTTGCTCTTATGTCTTATTTGCTTTCGACCAAAAAAGGCATCTGCGTGTGATTTCGTAATGTGCATAAGCAACTTCTTATCAACTAGTCTATAAATAATAATAAGCTATTTATATAACTCATAAATGAATCATCACGGTAGCACAGGCCACCAAGTATTAGTAATTTTCAAAATATAACCTAGGGCGAAAATGTCTGATCTCATTAAACTTTTGTATTTATTGTATAAAAAAAGATTTTATTTTTGACTCATTAAACATCAAAACAATTATTTTTTTGTAATTGTATCTATAAGTTTGAACTAGATTGTTGCATTATCTAATTTTTTTTCTCATTAGAAGTTATCTATCCAATGTCAATCCTCAAAATTATTTGGATAAGTAATCGTATAGTCAAATTTAAGCTTTTGTTGATAGCCAATACTTGGATATACTTGGATATACAGAGGTGGTCAAAAGTATTTACACCCCGGAAATTTTTCTGCATGCTCTGCTTAAAGAGCTTTTTTTTTTTGTTGTTTTTGTGAACCGGTTCAAAAGTATTTATAGTCTAAACTAATAAATAGAAGTAAGAAATAAATAGATGAAAGAAATATAGAACATTTTTAAATTTATTTATATTTATTTAATTTTTTATTTCTCTCCAATTTGTAAATAATGAACAAAAAGTACATTGAAAAAAAAAAATAAAAATAAATAAAAATAAATAAATAGCAAATAATTTTAAAGAATTTGCAAAATTTTGCCAAAAATTAAGTCGGAAAATTTTAGACGAAATTGGCTCGAATGATTCATCGAGAAGACAGCGTCAATATGGGAAACTTTGTATTTCGCTTAGACTGCATCGTATTAATCCTTTGGGTGCTTTGCGATGCTGAGATTAGGCCTGTATTTCTCCACTGATTTGCCCGCTAGCTCCATCGATTATATGCATCGCATTATATGCACTTATTATACCCTATAAATGGAATTCGCCTGAATATACAAGAAAGTTTTTTGAATTTTCAATGATGTGATTTATTTTTGATTCAATTGCATTGACTTACATAGTTACACAAATAAATAGAATTTTAATAACTTGTATTAACTGATAATATTGATAAGAACATCAAATGAACGATTTTGTGCGGGTGTTTCGATCGCAATAAAAATCGAGTGATTTTCCCATGTAATTCTTTAATATCAACTCAAAGCTCGTATATTTACATGAAATGGGAAAATTAGTCAAAAATAATTTGAATCGGTTTGTGCTATAAAAATTGTGTTTATTTTTCTGATATTAATTAGAAAACTTTGAAGTGCCTGAAAGCCAATTGGGGGATAGTCAATCATCTAACGTCGAACTATATAGCTATAGATTCTTATATTTGTCTAGGTAAAGTTTTGAAATACACTCATAAGCAAACGAACTTCGTTTATAAAGTTGTCTGGATTTTGATTCTCAGTGGCGCGATAGAATAGCTAGAAAAATAGTATAAATAATATATATATTATATATATATTATAATGATGGTGCCTACAATGTACAATCAAGCATTAGCTATTATTTATATATATATGTGTATATATATTTGGGTACATTCGTAGGAATAGTCTATTGTATATACAGAGGTGGTCAAAAGTAATTACACACCGAGCTTTTTTCTGCATGCTCAGCTTTAAAAGCTTGTTGTTGTTGTTCGCTGTTTTTGAAAAAAAGCTTTTGTGTCATAAAGCTTATTCTGTGTAGAAGCGATCGGCAAAAAGAAATTGCTAAAATAACGGTACAGGTTCGTAGATATAGCAAAAAGAACAGTTACCTAGAGGTTGTCAAAAGTATTTACACACATTTTTTTGCGTCATAAGTATTTACACAAAATTTAAACATTTTTTAATGGCATTAATTAATGTTATTTATTTTTAATTTTTGTTGAACATAATAAAGGGTTTATTTATTTAATTTAGTATTTTGTCATTCCCCCTTTTTCGTCAATTACAGCCTGAAGCCTGGCTGGAATTGATGTTACCAATGATCGGGCGAAGTCAACTGTGAGCTCCGACCATATTCCGGTAACTTCCTGAATGGTATCATCCCGTTTCCGGTCCTTTTTGAATAGCCGTTTGGATTTTATTAAAGCCCAAACATTTTCAATAATGTTAAGGTCCGGACTTTGCGCAGGCCAGGGCAGGATTGCTTGATCTAAGTCCGCCAAAAACTTGGTGGGTATTGAGCCTTTGTGGCATGGAGCATTGTCTTGCTGCAATACCCATTCGATTGTTGGAAATAGTTTGTTCGCCGAAGTAAAAGCATTGTCATTTAATATGTGCAAATATCGTGATTGGGTCAGAGTGCCCTCTATTGGCACAAAATCTCCAAAACCATAGTACGACATGCAACCCCAAAACATTACTGTGCCACCTCCAAACCTGCTAAGAGGCTGCACTGCAGTTTTTTTATTTTGTCGACTTAAATGCATAAAAGTCTTTCGAAATGAGCCTTGAAACTGAAATGCAACCTCATCTGTCCACAAAATGTTGTACCAAAACTCCAAAGGCTTTTCAATGTACTCTAAAGCAAAAGCAAGACGTTTTGCTTTGTTTGCTTCCGAGATATCAATGATTTTTCGGACGACATAGGTGTTTATGTCAACATCCTTTAACCTTCTACGAATAGTAGCATCACTGACATGTTTACCAATTATCTGTTGTGATGCTGCAGACACTTTAACTGGGCTTATCTCGGGGTTTTCTACGAATGTGCTGACAAGTCTTCTGCATTCCCCTGGTGTTCAATGCTGGCTTTCGCCCACTTCGGTGTAAATTATTCAAATTTCCAAGTGTATCCCTTTTGTTAACCAAGTTATACACCGTTTTTCTAGATATTTTGAATATCTTTACCAACTCCGATGCCCCAACACCACTCTTAAACTTGGTTACGATCTCGGATCTTGTTTCGACTGATAGTTCCTTTGTTTTTACCATTTTACAGCACATCTACAATTTCAACTACAAATTGAATTCCGATCTTAGTCAAAGACCGCACATGATCAACGCAAATCAAAGACTAAAGGCAAATTTACATTGTGTAAATACTTATGACGCAAAAAAAATGTGTGTAAATACTTTTGACAACCTCTAGGTAACTGTTCTTTTTGCTATATCTACGAACCTGTACCGTTATTTTAGCAATTTCTTTTTGCCGATCGCTTCTACACTGAATAAGCTTTATGACACAAAAGCTTTTTTTCAAAAACAGCGAACAACAACAACAACAACAAGCTTTTAAAGCTGAGCATGCAGAAAAAAGCTCGGTGTGTAATTACTTTTGACCACCTCTGTATATAGTTACTTAAACACATTTTATACACACACGTAAGATTTTGTAACTTCGTTCAACATTCAGAGAGTTTGAGATATTTGTTGATCCTTATTTGTATTTAGGTGCTAATTGTATTCACTAGATATTTGCTTATTTGCCATTTAGATTTGAGTTGAATTCTAAAATTGACAAATTTGATTTATACTTTGTAATTCTTGTCTAAAATTAAACATTCGATTCATATTTCATCTATTAATAATTTCAAATATTTAAAAAAATTAATTTTCGTGCATAATATACGAAGATTTTGGTTTACTTTTCAAGTGTATTTTGTTAAATATATAATTATATATATATTAATATTTTATATAGTTAGATAGTTTAGCTAGTCTAGAAATATCATAAAATATTGCTATAGTTTGTATTTTTCACAAATTCTGGTTTTTTGTCTCAACAGCTGCTTAAATATAGTTAAATATATTATTAGTACATGTTGTATTTTGGATTTGGTATGCCATCTAGAGTTTAAGAGTACGAGTACAACACGTGTATATATTTATCACATGCGGACTAGTTGTAATAGTTATCTTTTTTTTTTTTTTTTTTTTGCACGTTAACCCCGATAAAACTAGATAGTTTAGTCATGCATAGCCTCGTCGAATTTCTTGCTTAAACATATGTATGTGTATGCTCTATATATATTTATTTATCTGGTATTTTATACGTTTGACTAGCACGTTTCGATTACGCATGAGAACTACTTAACACATTTGTATCGATTATCTATATAGTACATACATATATTTGACTTTGTGTGGTGTACAAACATCTAAGAGCTTAGAGTTACGGTTTGTTCAGATTCAAAGCTAAGAAACAGAGACAGAGAGATAGTAGAAGAGCGGAAGAGGAGAGAGAGAGAGATAAAGAGAGAGTATACCAAAAGGCTTATTGCGCATGCGCTTTGGCCTTTAGGACCTTAAATAGATCACATGATTTGACATTCACTTAGGTATAATATTGCAATTCTTTGCTGTATGGGTATGTGTGGTTGTGGGTGTCGGTGTGGGTGTCGGTGTGGGTGTGGGTATATTGGTCTCTACTTATAGGCATATACACGTAGAGTAAACTAAAGTTGTTCTCATTCAACTTGCACTACACATTAATTAGTTAGTTACTATCGTTAGTTAGTTAGTTAATTGGTTAGTTAGTTAGTTAGTTAAGACAATGTCGTTCGAGATTATAATTGTAGGATTGATGGCTGGCATTTTGTTGCTATGCACACTGTCCAGCCAAACTGTTCAGCCAATTAGATTTCGGTCAGCCCCCCTCCGCTTTTGTCAGTCTCACTGCCAGCCGCATTGGAGGGGGTCACCAAACTCTAATTAGACGGCTTTCGTCATAATAATGCGCACAGCTTGGAGCGTTTCTTGCTCTTGTCGACGGTGCCAGCGGACGATGTGGACGAGGAGGCGGACATGCGGCCAACGCTACCGGAATGTGGCTGGGATGGGCTGGTCGGACTCTTGTCGTCCATGTCCTCGCTGACATGTGACTCGAGCAGTTTGAGCGATGTCTTTGGCTTCGAGCCGTCCATGCTGTTGTAGAGCGTCTTCGATAGCTTCGACCGCACCACCTTGCCCAAGGCGCCTGTCTTCTTAATGCTCAGCCGTGAGCTGCTGCGCTGATGCTCCGGTGTGTGGGTGTCCTCCCCACCGCCGGCGCTGCCACCATGCTGATTGCAGTTGAGCGTTGTCACTGTGAACTCAATGTCCTTGATCTCCTCATCGGCACAGCCGGCAAACTCTTCAACCGGTTTGTCGATCGTGTCGTGATCGATCCAGGTGAGCCCCATCTCCACTTTCTCCGCCAAGTCCTGCCAGTTGCGTCTGTTCTCCAGCGTGCCTTCGTACAGCGGCGTTATCCAGGGGAATGTGTCGCACAGCACTCGGTAGAGCGGCAGACAAATGACATCTATGAAGCCCACCTGCATTTTGGGCAGCTCATCCTTGCGCTCCCTGCAATTCCCAATTCAAGTCTTGCTTTCAATTGATTTCCATTTACTCACCTGTCCATCATGGCCACGGGCTGAGTATTCAGCTGCAGCTTCTCCAGATCGCCTTGATCGAAGAACTCATCTGCCACTAGCTTGGCGACGCGATGCTGCACTTCCCACGGCTTTGCTATGGCGCTCACGTCGCAGGCCGTCATCATCATACCGCACAGCACTTGAAGGGAGAGAGAGAGAGATGTAAACAAAATATTACGTATACGCACGGCGTGCTTGCTAAAATACTTACAATCTTTCTTCTCCTCGCCCTGCCAATCGAATTCGCCATTTTCGACCAGCTCGAGAAACGCGTTGCGCTTCTTAAAATACATTGCCAAATCGGTGGAGAGTATTGCGCTTTCGACAGTCTTCATGACGGAGCGATAGTCTTCGGGCGACAGAGCCTGAGGCAAGTTGGGCGAAACAAATTGATATATTAAATATTTAATCACCTTGATTTTAATTCTTTTTTTTTTTTTTTTTTTTGCGAAATAAATTAAGAGATTTCCAATTATTTATGAATACGATATTGTATATATGTGTATATTTATATATGCAGTTTAAACGTTTGTATATTAGATATTACTTAACAAAAACTAGGTTAAGATGAGATTATTATTGGAATACCTTTAGATATATAAAGGTTTAATATTTCACAGAAATAAAACTGAAGGTATTTAGATGTACAATGGAAAATATTTAAATTAGTCTCAAAAATCTAGGCTTTCATTGAACGAAGCTAAATGAATTCTAATTTCACTATGAACTAAAATCAGAGAGCTACAGGGTCTAAATATCACAGATAAAGTTCAAGGGAATATTTTATATATTTTCAGTCAAAGATTCAGTAGATCATAATGATGTCTGTGTCTTGGTTGAGTTCAATATTCCTAGTGTGAGTCTCAGCAGATTTTATGATACTTATATTATTATTATTATATTGTATATATATAATATAAAATTAATATATATTTTCGCCATTGACTACATATTTTTAGGAACAGCAACTTTGAAGTTTTTTTATTTTTTTATTTTATAAATATTTCAGCTGTTATCCTTAACTCTATAGCGCATAACTTTGAAGTGCCGCGCATAACTGAAATTCGTATAACTGCCTAAAGAGCATTGCAAATTTAATCACTTAATATACCACAGCATACTTTTGAGGGTCCAGCAAGTGGAATTCGATTGACATGCATATGTATATACGTATATATGCATATATCAAATGTTAAGCTTTATGATTATCACCTGGAATATGTTGTTGCCCTCGGAATTGAGTATCATAACACATTGATCGAAATGATGATGCTCCATGGTGCTGGTGGTGTAGAGTATAGCCAGTGGGGACTCAGTTTTGGTTTGGAATGCATTGTTGGTGCCGCGATGATCCAGATCGTGGCACAAGCAGGCCACCAGCAGGCCCAGTATCTCTAGGTCGGTCATAAAACGCTCCATTTTGCCCGTCTTCAGCATGGCGAACATTGTCTGAGCAACATTTAGAGCGTGTCGCCAATTGTGGTACTTCACTGGGCGATAGTTCTTGCGAACGCTCAGCACCCAGCGGCAGAGCACCTGAAAGGGAATTAAATGGAATGTATGTGGGATCCTATGCTAGGGCACTTTGACGCCTTCGGACTTACATCGTAAGGTATGTGGAACTGTGAGACCAGATTGCATTGCATAAACATGCGCAGCACCGCACGGCAGGTGTCGTCATCGACCAGGTCAAAGTCTAGGCGGGATTCATGATCATGGAGCATTCAGAAGGCTGAGAGCATGCCATACACTTACCCGTAAAGGTGAAGCTGTACAAATTGTAGGCTTCGGCCTCGGCAATGACGTCCTGGGCGAGTTTCTCTGTCTGATCCTGGCTGGCCGTCGCATGATAGCTGAGGCACTCCAATGCCACCTTCTGCTTGGCCATCAGCTTGCAGGCGTTCTCGTACATCTGCGTGTTGTGTATGCCCAGGCCGCAGAATATGGCGAATGCCTCGAATATGGATGCATCCGATTCGGTAAAGGGCAAACCGCTTGCCTGCAGCAGAGGAGCGACGTCAGACAGCTGCCAATGGGCACCTCAGACTGGCCACTCACCTTGTTTATCAATTGGGCGACGCCAATGACCGTCTTCTGGGCATTCACAATGGGCATGCAGAGTATGGCTTGTGTGCTGTCGATCTCGCTCTCGGCGCGTATCTGATTGTGCTCCCTCACCCAATCCTGAACGTCGCAGATGTTCACCGTCTGCCCGGTGGTGGCCACGAATTGGGCAATCTGCGCCAGCGTCGAGTGGCTCAGATCGTTGATGGAGGGCCGGGAGACATTCGCCGCATGATTTTCCCCGCCCAGCTCGAACAGCACGGTGAAGCGATTGCGCATATTTTGCTGCAAGCATAATTGAATGATGAACATGCATGGATGCATGCATATGAAATGGGGCAAAAAACGGGAAAAAATGAGACAAATCATCCAGCTCACCTTTTCCTCAAAGCTGTCGCCACTCATAATGGCACGCGGGGTGCGCTGCTGCTGGAGCTGATGAGGCTTCTCGATTATCTTCTCCAAATGGCTCTGCGAAAAGAGGCATGCAAGGCACTTGGACATTAAATGGCTGCCACTAATGGCCCCCCCTGCAGCTGCTGTGCTGATAAATTGCCCCAGCAGACGCAGACGCGGGCCGGGAATGAGAGTAAGGCAGGCACTCAGCATATTTGCCTGACGCACAGCGCTGCACAACGCTCAGCGCCTATGCTGCACATGACTTGGCATATTTTCAACATTTCAGGACCCTCCCATTTCATATATATATTGATACATATATATGTATATTTATATTGGTTTTACCGGTCTCTAGTTAATTGGCCATTGGTTGGGTAATCCCATTTAAACGCAATGAATACATAATCAAAAGCAATCAGAATTTAATTTAGCAGTAGAAAAAACATTTACCGCCAATGAATGTGCATTTCACATACTCTTAAATGCAATTAATTAAAAACTATATTATCATAATTAATACGCTTGACCCAGTTCAATTTAATTGGTTACATGGCTCTGCCGAGTTCCGATGGAATGGCGCTCATAAATAACAATTGCCGCGGCAAACGTCAAAGCTTCACCTCGGGCCTCAATGGGCCTTTAATGCATCACAATGGCATATATAAGACAATACATATACATATATGTATATATATATGCAAATATTTCGGAGCTATTTTTAAATGCATTCAATTTGTTGAGGTATGCTGAATTTCCGGTAATCTACTTGGCAGCTGGGCAAATATTTGTATATTTCTTATTTTTAAAGATGTTCATAATGAAGTTTCAGTTCAGAATTACGTTTCATTCACATTAATCAAATTCACTATGAATGTGAACTTGAAGTAGAATTAGCAGCAAAACATTTTTAGAATTTTCTTCCAACACATAAACATTGCTCGAGTTAAATCAATTGAAGTTACAAAGCCAATATGAAATCTGTTTTTTTTTTCTAAGACATTGCGATGGAAACTTTTATGTAAATACGTCAAATATAAAAGCCAAATTGATTACCTAAAAAAACACACACGTACTCAGAGATATACACAAAAGAAAAAACAAGTAAGAGTGCTCTAGTCGAGACTGCTCGACTAGGAGATACCCTGAACCCTCTAAGTTGATTTTCTAATCATAACGCACGCATAGGCCCGCGCTCTGCTAACTGCGCAGTAAGCAGCGACTGCGCTTGGGCTGCGTTGCAGTGTGGGTAATATTATGAAAATATTATTTGTTGAATAATTTCTTTTGAAGACATACAATCTTAATGAAACTTTCAGAGCGTAATCATATGGTAAAAATGTGTGTACATTCCCAAGCACAAGTCTCTAGTACTTGAAATGCGTTGGCGAAGGGGGTGTGGTGTTCAAAATCTGTAAATTAGAAAATCATCGTATCGTTCAACTATATATAAACAGTAAATCTGAAGTCTCTAGTTCTAAAAGTGTTCAAATTAGGCTGAAAAAACCCAAATCAATTTTTCGATTATTCTCGATAAAAAAGTTGTCATACGAGTTATCCAAAAAATATGATAAACTTGTACTGCGTATGGTACTCACGAGTATGCATGCCAAATTTCAGCTCTCTAGCCCTTATAACTTCTGAGAACGGCGGATGGACGGAAAGGGCTATATCGACTCAGCTCGTCGTATTGATCAATAATATATATGTATACTTTATGGGGTCTGCGATGATTACTTCTGCCCGTTACATACTTTTTCACAAAACCATTATACCCTGAATTCCCATTTTTAAGAACTGTAAAAAACATTTACTGTTCATTTGAACAATTGTTTTGAGCTGCCTCAAGACCTCGGCCCACAGACTGACGGAAAGACGGACAGAGATATTGCCCTGAATTGGGGGCCGCACAAAAAACAAAAAAATGTCTTTTGGGGCATTACATAATGAGTGTAGAAAGGGCAATGCGAGTCGTTGCTTGGTAGCTCAATGGGAATTGCCCTGGCTTGACTTAATTTACCTTTGCAATTTTTGTTGTTACGATGCTCGAATGAAAGAAATATCGGAATAAAACAGAAACAAAATTGGAATATAAATTGTACATTTTAATTTCCTTGGGGTGCGCTCACATACGCACACACTAACACACACACACACAACTCAGAGTTGTCAAACGGACAGAGACAGAGAGACAGGAAAAATGTCCGCGCTGGCGTTTAAACCATTTTAATTTTAATGAAACTGACAGCGACATCGCCGCAATTGCCGCAACTGCCACGCCCCGAATGAGTCGGGCGGACAGCGAAAACATTTTCATTTCATTCATATGGCAAATGCCAAGTCGTTGCTGAAATAGCCAGCAACAGGATAACAGTCGACGACTTCATTACCTCCATTGCGCGTGGCATCTGAACTCACCTCCTCGCAGCAATCGAGATCCACCAGAAAGACGGAGCAGCGCTCGCATTTGAGCAGCTCCCTGGCCTCCGTCATGATTTTGGTGACAAGGCACTCGAGATTGTTCTGCTCCTCGAAGATGCTGCGTGCCAGATTCAAGAGGATTTGATTGCGCCGGTACTCCTGAACGGACATCTCGAACAACTGGGCATTCTGTATGCCAATGCCGCAGAATGTCAAATATCTGCGAAAGATTTCCACATCGTGTTCGTCGAACTCCATGCAGCCTGAGAGTTAACATTGAGCAAAGGCGAACAAGTGAGCTAATTTGGCGATTGCGATTGCGAGTGCGATGGCGACCTGGCTTACCATTGGTTTTATTGATGATTTGTGCCACGCCTATGATGTCGCCCTCATAGTTGCAAATGGGCATGCAGAGTATGGCGTTGGTTGTGTAGCCGGTCTTCAAATCGATTTCGCAATTGAAGCGAGCATCCTTGTAGGCCTCCTTGATGTTAATCATCTGCTTTGTCTGGGCCACCATGCCAGCGATGCCGATGCCAAACGGTATGATGATCTCCTCGGCTCGCGCCCGCGTCACTGCATCCTTGAGTGCTGTAAAAGAAATTAGATTAAAGAAGACGGTCGACGTGGGCAGCAGGGGCTGGAGCGGCAGGAGCAGGGCCGCATAAATCATTAAAAAACCATGCCAGCGCGCACACACACATCTACATAAATATTTAATTTATAGGCAAAATATTCAGTCTGCCATGCAAAAGATACATTAGCTTCAACAAAAATCCAGGCCAAAGGCGCTAAAAGTCAAATTGTGAGTCGCTGCTCGTGACTCCCAGTTGAATTTGCATTTGCCGATTCATGTGTGTATATATATGTGTGTGTGTGTGTGTGTGTGCCAAAAAGTAAACCTTAATGCTGCTCTAGCTCTAATCTTTTGCCATGTGAATTATGTAGCGGAAGAGGTGACTTTAAGGCACAAAAACCCACACATAGCATTTCATAGCAAATAATGCTTTTCCCTCTCTCTCTCTCTCTCCCTCCCTCTCTTTCTCGCTCTCTGTTTGCCTGAACACGTTTTAGCCAGCATCTATTTTTCATTTGATGGAACCTTTTGGCTTTTACGGTCTGCCCTGCCAAAAAAAAAAAGAAACTTTTAATGCCCGTTTCCGCTTAGGCTTAATTTGCTAATGCGTTTCCCGCTCCCTGCCCAGCCTCGTCGCCTTCAGCCGCTAATGAGCGTCAATTTGTGTGGGTTAACGAGTCGAACAAATTCGGTGGCATTTGCTCAATGCTCACTCTCAATCCGGCCCCAAGTCCAGCTAATAACTATTGACCAACTACACTACCATTGGGTTGAAATTGACTCAAAACAAGTTTGGTCAAATTAAAGGCTTCTTCACTCTGTGCTGCAAGTTCCCTGCTAGCTGTTGCACAACTTTTGTGTTGCGGCAGTCTTTGTTGGGATTTGCATTATGCCTGCCTTCAAATGGACTATCAAAAAGCAGCTCAATTATGTAGAGTCGAGTTGAAAAACTGTGCATTCAATTCAGAGTCTGATTGTTGTTTCGAATCTCTTTGTTGTGTTGGCCTAATCAAACTGGTCTATAGCCCTGGCCAGAGCTGTGGCCCAGTTTGCATTTGCAGTTTTCCTTTTAGCATGCGCTTTGTCGTTGCTTGGCAACATTTTGGACAATGGATCTGGATATTGGAATTTCGCAAATTGGCATTTGGGAGCTCACCTGTCGTTTGTGTGACGTCAAAGAGCTTGGCCACCAGGTACCTGTTGTTTGGCGTGCCCTTGGCCAGAAAGAGAGATCCACGATCCGCATGGGTTAGCAGGCCCACGTTCACCAATATCTTATGGCACAGCACATCAATGTCCAGCTCGTTGGCCACGTCACGTATCAGCTCCATGAAGAGTTCGCCCTCATCCAATTCCATCAAATGGCGTCGACTCTCGGGCAGTGCATGCACCGATGAATTGGATAACTTGCGCGGCGACTTCTGCAATGCAGGCACACAGAAAAAGAGAGCGAGAGAAAGGTAAGAATAGAGATATATACATATACATATATATATATTTAGAGAGAGAGAGGGGGCCAGGCCAGACACATGCTCTGCAAATGTTAATGAAAGGCTTAAATTGTGTACAACACAATCCACAAGGAGGAGCTAAAATAATTGAATTCTGTGGCCGTGGGCGGCATTTAATTAACTCTTGTAATTGCGCCGCAAGCCGAAGCTTTGATATTAATAGAATGATAAGCGGGCATTATTCGAGAGGTCTTTAAGTTGTATGCGTGTAGCACATGTATTATGTATGTGCATATGAATTGTGTATGTGTGTGGCATGCATGCGAGTATGCATACATTGTGCTCCATGCTGGAGCCGAATTGAATTCCTTGCGCGCTTATAGCACCATGCGACCTGTCACCTGGCCTGCGTTCAATTCCAAATAAAACTAAGCCCGCCCGGTCAAAGGTAACCATTAGCAGTTGGCTATAAGAGGTCGGCTTCGCCAAACTGGTAATTGAATATAAAATGCCCTTGGGCTGCGTGCGAGGGGCCAATTACGAGGGCAACCTCGACCTGGGAACCTTGCGTGCTGTGCGCCTATCCACGACAAATACAGCTTAGCCTTTATCTCCAAACCTCCAACAACCAAACCCCCCCAAATAACATTTCTAACTGTGTGTTGTGGCACAATTTTGCCAAATTAAGGCAATTTGTTATTGTTCTTTATTTTGTTCAGTTGCTCAGTTGTTTTTGTTGTTATTGCTGAGTGTTCGTGCTGCACAAAAAAAGTATATCGATAATAATATGTTTAAAAATAAAATGTTTAATGACTTGGAAGCTTTTATGTCAATCCTTACGATTGACAGCAACATTATGATGTATCCTTTAATTGCGTATAATTGAGACGATATATTAATCATTGTAAATAAAGCTGAGAAAGGAATTTTATAAAAGTTGTAGACAGAGAGAGAGAGAGAGACACAGAGAGATAGAGGGAGATAGAGAGAGAGATAGAGGGAGTGATAGAGAGAGGGTAAGTGAGGGAGGTATATAGTGAGAGACTGATGAGATACAAAAAGATAGATAGAAAGAGAGTGAGAGCGCGATAGAGAGTGAGTTACACAGAAAACTCTCTCTAGAGAGAGATCTATTTATAGAGATGTACACAAGAAACACAGAGAGACAAAGAAAGAGAAAACGGGACAGAGAGAGAGGGAAGAGAGTGAATGAGGGAGAAATAGAGACAAAGAGAAAGATAGAACTACAGAAGAAACACAGCAAGATTTAGAAACATAGAAAGAGAGAGAGGCGCAGTTAAAATAAAGAAAGATAGATAGATATGTAGATAAAGTTAGAATGAAAAAGACATAGAGAGAATAAAAAAAGGAACTGCTAGAAAAAAAAATGAAGTTTATATCAAAAGCCTATGGCAATTAAATCATTTGCGCAATTCAAATTGACCAAAAATTTAATATTTTTGTTTATATTTAGTCACCCATACGCTTATGGTATATGTATATACATATATGTATATATGTTCATGCCCATTTATATCTACTCACACAATTTGTCGTTTAATTTCTATGGTATTCATACATGAATTCGAATTGTGTTAATAGTCCATAAATTATTAACCGCAATAAAACTATTGATTTAATATCAAAAAACAAATGTAATTCATCAATAAGTTAGTTTGGTTGATTTTTCGAATTATAGCAATTAAAGTATCCAACTGCGCAGGGGAGAAATAAACCTGAAACAAGACCTCAAGGTAAGCAAAAGTTTAAGTGCTTTTATTAACTGAAGGAGAGCAAGGTGGAAGCAAGCCAGGTCTGTCATTGTCTTTATATTTGCTCTGCTCCAGGGACCCCCTTATACAATCAAACCGAAACGAGTGGCTCTCAACTTTTGCTGACAGCCACCAACGGAGAAATTCAGACAACAATTTCTTTCTCTTGGCTGAACAATAAGAACGAGATGCAAGTGAAGCTAAATGCAGCCCGAACTAAATACACAGCGAAGTGAATGGCAACAAAATATGACTTTTAATCGGATTTAGTTCGTATTTCGCCACGTTTGCAAATTAAAAGCGATTTTCGTTTCGCTCACAGAATCCGTTGCTGGCCCTGATGCTAGTTGAAGCAGTCAATGAGGCCGCAGAACGACAGCTGTCGAGCGTCCGGCCGTTGACTGCATTATTCAACATGCACTTTAACAAATTGACAATGCGACGCAACACCTGCGACCAGGTGGCACAGAGATTTTTGAGCTGTTGCTATTGTTGAGCAACCTAGCCAACCCCACAACATCGACCCCCTCCACCACCCACGCGAACAGCGCATAAGTTGGCAATCATTTTTGAAAATGTTGCGTCGTAAAGCACACGCCAGTTAAGCACGACGATTGCTGTATTTTTCTTTTGCTTCCATTTGGTCCTGTGCCAACAGAGCTTTTTAAACACACACTTACACACGCACAGATACAGACAGATGCATTGCACACACTCACATACAGCAGCACATATGTATGTTGGCATAAACCTTGAGCGTTACTCGCATTTAGTTAGTTTTCGTAAGTGCAAGGTAAGTGGTTGCCTCTGTGTGTGGGTGTATGTGTGAAAAAGCACATGAGTGTGCCTAGATATCTCTGTGGGTGTGTGTGTGCGCGCACATCTAAGACTAAACAAGTTAAAGCCAACCACACCATATCAAACCACATCCATTAATTCCCATTGTTAACTTATTAACTTTACCGATTCATGTGCATATATTTTAGATATATACCACGCGCATATCGAGTTTTACTTTAAATATCGATCAATTGCCCCGTTATTTTGTTATCGATTAAAAACATTATCGAAAACCAGTAATCTCTATATATATAAAAGAGAGTTGTGTAAAAGTTTACCGAGACTTATAACTTGATATGTGCTGGACCAATTTTCATGGTTCTTGATTTGTTGGATTTGTCTCCGCCACGAGTAGGACAGTAGATCTTAAAAATACTGAAAAGATTTGACGAATACTTGAAAAACGCGTTTTTTTCCCTTAGGCTTGATAACAGTGACAGTCGAGCACTCTCGACATTCTTTTAATTTTAATACATATTTATATATTGAATGATTGGCATTTATTGAGCATTTATTATTATAAAAAATAAGCATTTATTGAGCTAGCAAATTTAATATTTTAAAATATATATTTAATATTATATAATAGAATATAATAAAATAAATGAATTATTTAATTTCAGTCATTTAGCTGTTTGCTCTTTCTCAATTTTGAAATACGTCACATTATTTGCAAGCGATCGTTTAAAGATAAAAATCATACGCCTAGAACTGTGCTTTGAATTTGTAAGAATTCTAGCAGCTAGTTTCAGAGCTAGCAGCTAGGTGTGACATGTTATATGCATATTTAGGCCAAATCTATTCAAAATGTTTTGTACTGCTTTCAATTAAAACTGTTCAAATAATAACATGACGCAGATAGCTTAAAATACGTAAAAACTGTCCAAATAAAATGAGGTTAGCTGTGTTTAATTCAATGCTAACTAAAATTAAGCTCAAATTCACAAGTGACAATTGATATAAATTGGGCTTTTGCGGCCACAGATTGACATTCGAACCAGTTACTTGGCATCGAGATGAGAATCCAAACGGTTATCCTCGGCTGTGCCTTCTTGGCCATTTGCCTGATTCGAGGCAGCGATGCGGATTGCTTAACTCCCGGCGACTGCACTGCCGTAGAGTGCGCAGAAGCCGCAAATGCAGCGGATCCTAGTTGTGAAAACACGGCGACTCCTGCAGCGACACCCGCTCCGGGAGGAGCGACACCCGCTCCGGGAGCAGCGACACCCGCTCCGGGAGCAGCGACACCCGCTCCTGGAGGTGCAGGAGCAGCAACTGTGCCCAGTTCCGGCTCTGAGACGACTACTAGTGCAGCGCAGGCACAAGTGGTTCGACTGAGAGCTCGCTTGCGCCGCATGAGGTTGAATCAAAGGAGGGCCCAACGCAGAAGGAGGAATCGCCAAAGGCGCCTGCGCGCCCAAAGGAGAAGGGCTCAAATGATGCGTAGGAGAAGGAATCGGAACAGACTGTTTGCACGTCTGGGGGCCAGACGACCATTCAGAAACCTGGGTTAAGCCCATTGAACCATTAACATGCTGTTCATTTTTTTAAATAATGAATTCAATAAACTTGTTTTATAAAGGGCATAAACAAAATATGAAAACTGTTTATTATTTCACAAAGAGAACAGGGGGCAGCAGTGAAGGGCCATCCACACAGCACAGCTGACCGGACTGGTAATTAACATACCTCCAGCGGGCTGTTAATATTATTAAAATAATTTGTTTGACATTTTTTTAGGTTCACCTAAATTTGACTCTCGTTTTGTCAATAAGAATTCAATTAAATAACAAGTAAGAAAGCTCTAGTCGAGACTACTCGACTACGAGATCCCCTGAACCCTTGGAGTAATAGCTATTTCAATAATTTTTCGCGTCTTTCAGCTTACACAAGAAACACGCACACACAGGCATACATACACACACATACATACACACATACACACACACACACACACACACATACACAAGCAATTACATACATATACACACACAGGCATAAACACGCATGGGCGGCAGTGAGCGCTTACTATCGGAACTTAATTGCTTAATAACTTTTTTGTGGACGTACGATCTTCATGAAACTTTCAGATTATGATTATGACATGGATATGCATGTAGTTGCCAAAGCACAAGTCTCTAGTATTTGAAATACGCTTTTTACAAAAGTGAGGGTGAGGGGGTGAATTTAAGGGTGGGGGGTAAATTTTAACAAAAACCGAAATTGTATAAATTGCATATAGGCATACATTAAAAATTTGGAGACTCTAGCAATAAAGGTGTAGAAGATATAATGTTATAACTGGTTTTCGATAAGGTTTTTTATCGATAAAAAAAGATCGGGATGAGTTATCGATTT